AAGACTATAAAGGTGTGATTTAAGAAAAATAATAATAAATACAATTTGCCATCCTTATTTCCTCTGGAAGGATGTTCCACAGTTTGGAGGCTCTGGTGGCAAATGTCACCCTTGTTTTTTAATCTTGTTTTGGGAACCATCAGAGCTGCATTTGAGGACCTCAGGTCCAAGATATAGCTAATAAATAATAGTAATGTGTCACGACCCGGCTCTTAAGTCAGACAAATATGGGAGATACACCACTTTAAGAAATAACAAAAAGATAATTTTATTGAACAAAAGTCAAATTATGAAATGAACAACTAAATACTTTAAATATAGAGTGTGAATATCAGTATATGTCAGTAGTTGAAGGTGTGCATGAGGGATAATGTGTGTGTATGTTGTACAGTGTACAAAGCAAAATATAAGGGGAGGCCAAGCTGCAGTCCTCACACCACTGGCAGCGTGCCTGCAAAGAAAAGAACACAAATTAGTACAAAGCCAAACAACAACTTAGGACAACTCAAACCATACGAACCAGAAGCAGCAGAGAACTAGAATGGGCCACAGGGCCTTGATTATATAGCCTGGGAGCACCAGGCCCAGATGTTCCCAGTTGGCACCATTACCCCAGTCAACACCACCATCCTGACCTGAGGCACAAACAAACACCAAACACTCAGTGACCCCAGGGGGTGCAACATAATGTAATAAAACAACATATATTTTGTGTTTCTGTATGTTTTTCCTCCAGATACTGTCTCATACAGACATCCAGATCGTGGGTGTTTTCTTATCCAGTATATTGTTGACGTAATCAACACCTTCGCGCATGTAGATGACATCGAAGAACTTTTCAGAACAGTAAGTTTTTTAAGTGCAAACTGTCCTCTGGGTATGAAACATGCATGTATAATAGGAGTCAGTAGTAATGATAACGCTATTGTTTTATTACTCCTAGTGTTGCTTAATTTCACACACTGTTTGTTTGAACCTCACAGGTCATGCAACGCTTTGAAGACTTTCCTGTTCCGAACAAAAGACAGATGCCAACCAAAGACAGATGCACTTTAACAAAGCGCTTCTACTTCTTCCCAGGCCTCTGAGGCAAGATTCGCTGGTGTTTAACCACAGACGTGTAACCAAATTTAAAACAACAACACTTTATGATATGTTCTTGTTTGTAATAATTTTGTCTAGGTTTTAAACTTCAAATAAAAATTTCAGTACCCCATGTTTAAATAATGTGTCTATATATAGGACACTGATTCAGTACTTCAGATGTTTTAAAGTCATCATACTTTATGAATAACATGTTTTTATGAACGCACTGTTTGCTCCATCTGTCAGTGTAAGAATGAGTAGATACAGAACAGAATGAGGTATGATATGTGAATTTTAACATAAATATTGTAGAAAATAATAAAAACTGAAAAACTACTGACTTTGTCTGCACAATGTAAACAGAAGTCTACAAGCTCTGGCTGCATCTTTAAGTCACAAAGCATCTGCATCAGTCCCATTCAAATGGACTCCCCCAGATTTCCTTTTACAGGCTACAGTTTCAAATATAAAATACTCTTTATACTATGGCCTAACTGAATACTTGGTGGCTATTATTTAATGAGATAACAACCAGTACTCAACGGCAACTCATTGCTTTTGATTTCACATTACAGAGCTGTAACTGAACCTTGAACGAGAAACAAGATAACCATTATCTTATTAAAACATGTGTGGCTATGAGGAGAGCCCAAGCAACCATTGGCCGTTGGTGTTCATCAAACGTAATAAATAGTTGTATTACACCCTGGAAGACACAGACAGACCAAGTGCCGCACTATCAGCTGTTAGTGAATGTGAATGAATGTAGCCAAAATCAATAACTAGGTTAATTAACAACACAAAGAATGGACTAAAAGTAAAAACTAATCAGACTAAACCCAATATAAACCCAATAAACGTGACCAAAGTTTGTGAAGGTAAAGTAACATGAGCTGCAGCAGTTGTTCTTGTTAGAGGAAATATCCCAAAAACAGTCATATAAACAAGGTTTATCTAATCAGAACTCTACATCAACAAGAAGAGAAAAACATTCACTGAAGGCAGCAAAAGACAGCAGAGGAAAACATGCTAGAAATATTTTTATCACACTTTGCTTAAATGTAACAGTATACCACAGGATAGGCATAATTCAGGTTAGAAGAAACCACACAAAGCAGGTTTTGATTGTAATATATCTGATGTTGCTACAGTGTGACTGCTTTGTGTTCCTCTGCCCTGGCTTTGGGATAAAAACTGAAGCTACTTTAATTTAATCTGTGTAATTCACCCATGAGGCCTCCTATAAGCTTTGACTGAACTCTGGAATGTATTTTGGCACAGAACGAGGATTGTGAATCTTCCATTTTCATTTTTAGTAACAAACACCACTTATCTGCAGCTTGGTGTTCTTCGGAAAACAAACAATGCTCTACATGTGTCCATTCTTCAAAACATGCTTATGACAAAAAGGTATGTAAAACCTGCCAATTACTTTCTGTTCTTAGGAAAACAAGCAGTGCTTTACAACAAACACCGATCAGCCATAGCCTGACTATCTGGTTATCATGGCACCTGTCAGTGGGTGGGGTATATTAGGCAGCAAGTGAACATTTTGTCCTCAAGTGGATGTGTTAGAAGCTCTAATTGCTGAAAAAGTTAATGCTGGTTCTGATAGAAAGGTGTCAGAACACACAGTGCTCCGCAGTTTGTTGCGTATGAGGCTGCATATGGCTGATTAGTGTACTTCAAAGCAGGCTCATGACAAAAAGATATGTAATTTGTGACACACAAAGCACAAACAGCAGGGGAGTTCTTCTTGGGTACACGACTGGATTAGAAAAAGCCTATTTTAAAAATTAAATATAGTAAAATGTTGAGAGCACAGATGTCTGCTGAGCTGTTCCTCTGCACACACCAA